TCTCGAGATCATCTCGTCACAAAATGTGAACGTTGGATGCGTACGAGAAGGACTACATAAATGCTGTGCTTCGCATCGCATTAATAAAAGAAAACTCGCGGCACACTACTGTAAAGTGCTTCGCATCTTAATAAACGCACTGCAGCATTACAAAACCGAATAGATGCTTTGTATCATCGATATAGTAACTATTTACTAAGTGCATCTGATATTTTTACTGGTCTGTCTTCCATCGTGAAGAAGAAGAAATAATGCGCCAAAAATTTGAATTAACTTGTTCAATTGACTTAACGAGAATATTTTGCTTGTCTTAGATCCATTTTTTATTTAATAATAAAATTCATTTACATGAAACTGTTGATTATTTTATATGCTGAGTAAAAAAGTCTAAATCTGTTTTGAAATTTTTTTGTCCTCCAATATTTTTACTATCGACGTTTTTATATTTGAATATATGTATCTTTCGACATTTTATCTTTTGACATTTGCATCATTTTTTTCGACATTATTCCTTTCGACCAAAGTTCAGATTATCCTTGAATGTTCCTTATTGCAAATATGTATTTTGATTTTTTTGTTAAAAAGTTATTGAAAACATTAGTTTCTATTTATTTATTTTGGTTAGAGCAAAAGAAATAAACTTATTCACTTGAAAACACTTTCCTTGTATACATTCAGAAAAGTGAAAAATTTGAACCATTAAGACCCAATGTCCCTTCCAAGGGACACTTTATATCTCCGTAAGAAAAAAATTTTTTTTTTTTTACTATAAATAATTTTTATTGGGATCTTAGAACTTGTATTTTAGTGGTTAATTTTTCCAATTTGTGACGATAAGGCCTTTGGGCTTTTAAGAGTTAATGGTAAGTTTGATTAGCTGATTGACAGAAGCCTTACTTTTCGGATTCAAAAGCGAAAACACAATGCTAGATTCTACAAAACAAAACCATCGTTAAGAAAAAAGTGATTTATTCGTTATCCAAAGAACAATTGCTTGTTATTTGTGCAAAATAGTATTTTTCCAAATTCGTATCTAAGCTGCATACCGCATTTCTTATTCGAGCGAAACTCGAATTCCATCTTGTTTCTCTAGAGTTTTTCTTGTTCTCAATGTTTCATCTGTTCGTAAAAGTTTTAGTCTCAATTCTATTCATATTATCAGAAGATGAGTTTTAGTCTTTTCAATCATTCATAAAATATGTACAAATAAAGATTTGATTCCACAATTATCAATAAATTTAATAAACTATAGAACTATTTTTATTTTTCTAAATAGTTGTAATAGTTGTTTTTTTACTTATTGTAGATAAATTAAAAACATATATGAAGTGTATATAGAAGATCATTTAATTAGAAAGGCAAATCTTCTAATGATTCCCCTTACTTGTCAAGAGTTTTAATACGTTTAGACTGTATTCAGTTCGGTTTGAGAAAAGCACGGAACGATTCCATTACTGTCGTATATGTACATCATCAACGTTTTGTTCAAGAGATGAAATCAATCAAAGAAATTGTCCAATTACATCCAACTTTATCAGTAATCAATTTGGTATATGTATGAATTTGTATTTTTTTGTGATTGTACAAAATTAGTCTACATTTGGATCATTAGAGATATGAAAATATTAGTGCAAGTAATATATTTTGTTAATCTTTGTATATCATTTTCTTCGTTTTAGAAGAAACATAATTTTTCACAAAACAGCATTTGATTATGAAACGTTAAAAACACTCCATAAACTATTATTAAATCATGTAAGTAACCTGCTGTCTATTTTCAAATTATGGTATAATTTTCATCTTTTAATTATATCATTATTTCTTGTAGGAAATAATTGTCGCTTATCCAATAATATAATAAACATATTACAATAAATTCACAGTCCAAAGCAATGACTATTTCAATTGGGTCAAATGTATGAAATATTTAATACAGAATATGCAGCAAATGTTCACGCAATGTTAGAGGTACTGAATGGTTTTTCATTAAAGAAGTGGTTATTTTCTTGACATTGGCAACTAAATGATTTCTAAATCAACATAAATTGAATAATCATGCACTATGACGATAAATTTTCTAGGTATAATGCAATGTAAGATGAAATTTCGCAAACTATTAGTCAGTTTAGTTTATATGTTTTTCAGCAGTTTTTTCTCAATTTTGTTAAAATTAACTTATTTGTTAGTTCTCTTGTTAGTAGTTTTCGAACAGGTTTTTTTTATTGGATTCTAGCTATTGTTTTTGTGGATTCATGTTTTGAGCGTGAAATAAAATAAATCAAAAAATAGTTATAAAATGGAAAATTATTTTTGCGATTTTTCAAAAATGCTTCAATAACTAAATTCAATGCAAAATTCTAGGAAAACTCACACAAATTCGCTTTTGACTTTCTGATTAGAAAACAAATCCCTTATTTCTTTCTTTATAAATAATTTTCTACTTTGCAATGTAGGAGACATTTTCAATTTGACATTTTTCAAATGACAGTTAGAACAAATTCTTCAAATTGATCTGATCAAAAATCTTATATTGATAGCACATATGATATGAAAAAAACTCGGAAACGTTGAAGAAAATCAAATAAGTTCAACAAAAAATAGATCCTAGTAGGCCTTCACACAACATATTTCGATGCAACACAAACGTCCTGTTTTATCTATTGATGATTGACTATTGTGACGCACATTTTTTTTTCCGTTGATTACACTTTGAAAGGGTTAGATATAATGAGGCAAATGATCATTCGAGGTGTCCAGAAAAATGCAAATTGTATCATTAAAAAGAACAATAGTAATACCTTCTTAGATGAAGGTTGAGAAAAAAAAAGTAATGATGTAGCACGTGTTTTTTTCATGTGTATAAGTATCGATGATATCAAAGAGCAAAAGGATATTCAGCTATTTTTAATACTATCAATTGTTGGTAATAGAGTGCGTGACCATTTGTGAAGCTTATAGACTACATAACACGATCAATCTTCAAAACAAGTAAGTTTAGGCCTACTTACACTTAAAGAATGAAAAATATTAAATAGAATTTTGTTTTTATTTTTACATTGCTGTTTGTTTTCTCTCAATATTAGAACAGATGACGTCAAAATAAATGCATAATAAAACAAAATAATAGACATATAAAATACAATATATTTATACGCATATAGTTTATTGTATTACTCATACAAGAGAGAGAGAAAGAGAGAAACAAACAAGTGAAAAAGGAATATATTTTTGTCCTTGAGAGAGTTTAGGTTGGGCATACTGTATTAATATCATGACTAAGAAAATTTATGGCAAAAAGTTCAAATTGCTGAAACACAATTACAACTTTCATATAGAATAAAATAGCAGATGTTCATTTTATAATCACCGATTGGGTCATTAAACTGCGTCTCCAGCTATTGGACAACTATTATTGTAACAATGTACGTTTAGTATTAAAATAATCAAAAGAAATTGACGAAAAGTAAAAGCGAATGATTAATGCAAGCGTTTGAATTTTTTTATTAATAGAGTAACTGATTATATTAGATGTTATTTCGTTAATAATAGAAGTTCTCTAAAAATTTATCATTACTTTATATACAATAATTTTCATTTTCTCACTTAAAACGATGTTCAGATGTTGATGATGTATTTCACATAGATGATTTAGATAAACATTAATTACACAGTGAATTCAGGTACATTAAATGCTTATATGATAATTTAAAGGAAATATATCAAATTCAGTGATGGGTCTAGAACCAGAATCTAGAATATAACAGATTATTTTTCGTTACCGATAAAAAATACTCATGAATGTGCATGGTGCATATGATGATAAAAATACTGAAGAAATTATTTCATTGTCAAAGAAGTAATATGATGATGATACTATAAGGTTCGATTAAATATGCTGATTTTTATTAAACTACATGAAACAGTTCGAAATTTCTAATCTCGTACCGATTCAATAACAATTGAATCATTCAAAAGAGTACAAAAATATGAGCAAACGTATTAATCTTTTCCTCTATATATCTCTCTGAATGACCTTTTTTGTCATAATTTTTATTTCATCGTTCTCTTTGGCATGTATACAAGTGTATGAGATTGTATATATATTGTATGACTAGCTGAGAGTATCAGAAAAAAAAGCATCATACTGCTTCTGATGATAATAATATCTTGGTTTAATTCAGAAAAATTTAATTATTTAGAAAAAATCTTTTGAATAAAAATAAGACACTTATAGAGGATCGTATTCGATTATTATTTTGAAAGAAATATTTATTTAAAAACTGAATATTTCAAGTATTATGCATCGTTCAAAAATATTTATTGAGTTGTGAATCATTTTATATTCTTTATTGATTCAAAAACTTCATTTCTTTTGTTGTTACTACTGTAGAAATAGATAATCAATAAACAGCATGTTTGAAATGTTCAAGATCAATATTTTTTCATTCTTTTCTCTCAGTCCTCAATGTCAATGTTTGATCAGAAATCTTATCGCAACAGAACATATGTAAGTGTGGATGTGAATACTTCTTCATTCATACCTATAACCACAGCAGGGGTCCTAATGGGCTGGGCTGGGCCTATGAAAGTCAACACATGGGCTATCGAACTTTAACCCGGCCCACCCATGGTTTTCTCCCAAAAACCGGCCCAGCCCATGGGTACCCATGGGCCACATATGTTATTAAAATTGTTCTCATAGATAGTTTAGTTTGTCATATTGAAAAATATATAATAGACCTTACTATTCTTTTATTTCATAAATTAAATTTCAAAACTTATTTTTCAAATTAATAATAACAAAGAAGTTATCTCAATAAAAATAACAAAAAATATATACAAAAAAACATTAATTTCTTTATACCTACACATAGTTAATACAAAATGAAATGAAGATATCAATAGCAGCATCATAAATACGCAGTATATATTACAAGTGACAAATATCAATAAATAAACATAATATACAAAAATAAACTAAGACAATATAAAACAACATATTACTTCAGTAATTTTTTTACTGACCTAATTACTATTATATTGTCGAGTTGATCAGGACTTAATGATGTTCGACGTTCATTAATAATAAAACCACTTGAACTAAAACATCTTTCTACTGCAGATGATGATGCAGGTATACAATGAATTTGTCGAGCAAGCTTCGATAGAACAGGAAACATTCCTTGATATTCTTTCCAAAACTCAAGTGGATTTGATGACAATTTTGATTTGTCAAGCTCTAAAGCTAAATATCTTGCTAATTCATCTGTGTGTACCGAATTATAATCATAATCTTCACTTCCTGAACTATTATTCTCAACTTTTGATGAATTCAGATCATCATCATCTTCATATTGTTGAAGAATAGAAACTTGAACTTTACGTTTTTATTTACAGGCGAAACTCTATCTTCTTCTTGTTTGGACTCGTAAATAATTCGTTTCATTTCTTCACGAATATAGCTATAAACTTCATCACGTTCAGCATTTGAACAACCTTTTAGTTGTCGATAACGTGGATGTAATAATGTAGCAGTATAATGGCGTAAATCCAATATAAACATTAAATCAAATAATTCTAATAAACGTATTCGAAGTATTCGAAGACCTGAGACAAGGAAAAAATTTTATAATATGTCGTAAAGTCGTAAAAGAAAAATATTTTAATTTACCTTCGGATTCTGCAAGCAGTTCTGCTTCTTCAACATCAATATTTTCAGTATTTTCATCTTTATTATCAGCTGTTTTTGACATTTGATGTTTCATTAATTCATCAAATGATGATAATGCTTTTCTCAAAGTTAATGTACAAGGAAGAACCATATATAAGGACGGACAATCACCTTGTTGAACCAATTGCAATACATGTTGGAATGGTTTAAGCAAACAAATTAACTGTTTTAATACATATTCATCGATTTTATTGATTTTTTCTTGTTGTCGTCGACTAAATAATATTCGTTTAGTTTGTTTATACGATTTAACTAAACTTTCCAACAAATCAATTAACGATAACCATCTCACGACCGTTGATTGTTGCAACGCAACGCCACCATTAGCTTGTATATCTTTATTGAGACCATTCTAAATGAAATAGAAAAATAAAAAATATTAAGAAATAAATTTCTGTGTATTGAAGCAGTGGCAGTAATAAGGTTTTTCACTGACATTGTTGATAACTTCCCCATTATATATGAGTATTTTAAAATAATCCAAGTTCAAGAAATTAAGTACCTTCTTAATATATCGAACCAACTTTTTACATTGTTTAATGGTTTCAATTATTTCTTGAGCTTTTATATGTAAATCTTTTAATTCTAATTTCATTGGATCATTTTCAATATGGATTAATGATTTATTTTTTTTTGTTTTTTTCTTTTTAATTTGCTTTGTTAGTTTAAACAATTCTTCTTCCTCTTCTTCTGATGATGATGATGAAGATGATTGACAGTTTTCATTTGTAACAATATTTGAACTTGATGGTGTTGTTGTTGTCGTTTGAACAGTTGTTAATGAATTTGTCGATGTTTGACGAATCTTTTGTTGAAAAAAAGCTCTTTTCAAAACGTTGTTGATCCGATGCGGAAAACAAAATAATGTTTCATAAGTTTGAAGAGCTTTGATCAGATTCGTACCTCGGTCTGACATAAAACTCAATTTTGTTAAATCATCAATACCATAAGGTTCTAGTGCTTTTTGGATGGCCTAAAAAAATTTCAGATTTAATACAATAAAGACTTCAAGTGGTTTAATATCAAATTAATGAATCTATGAAGTCTTTTTGTCGTCTATGTTATGAAATATTCTTTTCTTAACTATTTTCTTTGGAAAATATTGTTATGTAGATAAATCACCATTAAAAAAAATATTATTTTAAATATTGAATTTGAATTAAAAATCAGGAAAAATATAATGATTCACTGTATTATATTTGAATTTAGAGATTCCACTCAAATAGCTAATAGATTATTTATATTTCCTACTCATTTAGAATATTAAACAAATAAGCATCTCCATTATATTCCATGAAAAAAAAATAAAAAAATTGCTACATTTTTGTCTCATAGTCATATAACCAATTCAAAACTGGCTGTAGTAATATAGTTTTAAATCAGTTTAAATCAAAGAATTGTTGATATGAAGGATAACTTTTAGATTTTGTTAACATTTACATGAGTATACCGTATAGAAAGAACGTGAAAATGAATAATTTTGTATTCGAAAAAGTTATACTTACAATTAATATATTTTTCTCACTATGATCATCACCAACAAACGGTTTACAACGTAAATCAACAGTTTTATATTCATGATTTGAGGTAGTAAACGTTGCTGTAATACCCAAATAAGAGATTTTCATGTGGTCGCCTGACCAAAGATCAGGACTAACACAAAGAGCACCACTTTCAAGTGGTTCTCGAAGAATATCTTTTAATTTTAAACGATAATCATCAGCTAAATCATAAATATGATTAGATATTGTATCGGCACCACGTAAAGCACAACTGACATCAAATTCACCAAATTTTGATCCTGAAGAACAAGTACAAAAAATTCGATGAGAAAATAAAGACTTGACCTAAAACAATAAATTCTTGTAGAAGATCCTTCAATCCTAAATCTTCAATAATTTTGAACGATCTCATGTCATGGCAGATCCATGAAGAAACAAGATTTTTAACAGTATTTAATTCTTGTTCACTTAATTTAACTTTTTTTATAGATTTTCATCATATCATTAGATTTAACTTGACTGGAAGATGATGAAGATGTAAATTTTGTTATATTCGTATTTGATAAATTTTTAACACATGAATGAGAGAGAATACATCCTATTCCGCAATGTTGCACATTGCGGGAACCAGTTCCGCCCCCAGAATCAGTTCCCTCAATTCCGGAATTCCTACCGATTCCGCCTCAGACACAATTCCGGAATTCCGTGATGGAATCACACCATCTCCCCTCACCCTCACTTGTTGCCTTGTATTGCAAGGTTATATCCTTCGAAACACGACCGAATTCCGTTACGGAATTCCGGAATTGCATCGCACACGAAATCGATAGGAATTCCCCGGAATTCCGCGGAATTCCTACCGATTCCGTCTCGGACACAATTCCGGAATTAGTTGGATGAATTCCGGAATTAGTTAAAGGAATTCCGGAATTAGGTTGGAGGGATTCCGGAATTNCCGGAATTGTGTCTGAGGCGGAATCGGTAGGAATTCCGGAATTGAGGGAACTGATTCTGGGGGCGGAACTGGTTCCCGCAATGTGCAACATTGCGGAATAGGATGACTGCTCGAATGAGAAAGCATATTTCTAGTACCAGTAGTTACTGTATAAGAAAATGTTTGATAACATGTTCGACAACTTGTAAAACCATCAATCTTTTGATATTCATTAGTATTTTCTATTCTTTTAGCTGGAAAACCAAACACTTTCCAACATATTGAAGATTTATTTTTCTCATTTTCAAGAACCTTGTATGTCGATGGTTGTTGTTTTAATAGAAATTTAATTCGATCAGTTGTATACTGTTGCATACGTGATGATGAATTGACAGCATTCGATGAATCACGAGTAATAATGGATATTGATGATTGAATAGAATTTGCAGGTGCCGAAGCACTATGACAATTTGAAGAAGTAATTTGTGATGATTATGACATTGTTGATAAATAAGAAGAACTCGACGATGACATGTTGTTACTACAAAAAAAGTTTTTAAAAATGATAAATAATTGTCTTATCTTATTCTTTTGTTTTATATATTCACTCATCATTGATTGCTTAAATATTGTAGCAAATAAAAGGATTAAATTCGATTTATCAAAAAAACAATTTCAGTGATAATACGCGACATCTTTTGAAAATTTTTATTTTTTATTTAAAATATGACCCATGGGCACCCATAAAAAAATCGGACGATCCAGCCCAGCTCATGATTTTCTGTTAGAAAAATTTCGACCCATGGGCTGGACTGGGCTGGGCTGGACTGGGTTGGGCTTGGCCCAGCCCATTAGGACCCCTGAACCACAACGATCCACTCACATCTACACCTCACACCGATACTCTCCATTATCAAATAGATCGTTCTTTCTCTTCGATCTGAGCGTTAGAAGACAGTCTAGTACGTAAAAGAGATTAATATTAATTAATTTCTTCATTTCTAGATACAGTATGATGCCCCTCATACTTAGTTTACTTTTGATCATAAATACCATATTCATTTTTATTCTTGCATTACCGACTTTCAATGTCTTTGACTTCAACATTACTGCTGCAATGATGCAAAACACACTGTAAGTACTCACTTTCATAAGAATTTGAATGATTCATTCAATAAATTAGTGTCGAACGGCACATATCGTGGCTTCATTTTCAATGATGCTCAAACATGTTCCGATCTTCCCAGAAGATACAGCAGAGGAGTACGAATGTCAAAAAAGAAGCTCCACATATGATATTGATTCTGACCCTGCAAATTCTGTTACAGCACAACCATAATTTGAGTGACAGAATAACTTGTTGAGTTCAAATTGATAAGAATGCATATTGAATATACAAACACAAATACAAGGCACACTTAATCTGTAATATGAGAAGCTTTATTATGAATCATAAATTAAGATCATTCATAGTGCAGTAACTCCTGTCTTGCTGAGCAGAAGAAAGATGGCCAGTAAAACAAGAAAAAGTTTGCCATTTCAACGACTCCCAAATGATTATGAGTTTCTGCGTTTGAACACCCGCAAACAGTTCAATACATCTAACAATTGAGAAAGATTTTTTTTCGCTGTATTTTTGTAGAAAAGCGATGTATCAATAATGAGAACAAAGTGTCAATACAATCCTATTCATTTAGGGCATCGTCATCTCTTTTGCGACCTACGTGGATCAATATTGATCTTGACGCGGTGAGTTCAAATGTTCGTCAACTCAAACCATTCATCGGGAAGAAGGTGCATCTAATGGCTGTCGTCAAAGCCAATGCATATGGACACGGCATGTTAGAGATAGCTCGCACTACTCTTTCGTCTGGCGCAACTTGGTTAGGTGTCGCCACATTGGATGAAGCACTTCATCTGCGTCGCCAACTCTCGACAGATTTCTCTATCCTCGTTCTTACCTACATCCCTCCGGAGTACTTGTCATTGGCCCGTCGTTTTGGAATCACAGTTACAGGCATCTCGTTGCAATGGGTCCAGGAAGCGGCTCGTTTCGTTCAGAAACCAATCAACTTCCATCTAAAAGTCGATACAGGTCTCAATAGGCTTGGTTGTAAGACATTAGAGGAAGTGCGAGAAGTAATTAAGATTGTGTCCCTAAATCCAAATCTAAACTTATCTGGAGTCTTCACTCACTTTTCTACGGCTGAGGATGTGAATCACAGAATCTATTTTCTACGTCAACTCTTTCGCTTCTATGAATTTCTGGACGTCATCCCTAATCAAAGAGAACAAATTATTCACTGCGCAAACTCAGCTGCTACTTTGTATCAAATCGAGAGGCCATTCTTTAACATGGTTCGATGCGGAATAGCATTGATGGGTCCTCCAAATGAAGTGTTAAACCATTTGCTTCCTTTCCGTCTTCAAACCGATATGTCTCTTCATTCGACAATAGACCTCGTCAAACAAGTGAATGCTGGTGAGAAGATCGGTTATGAAATCAAATACACAACGACAGAAACTCAGTGGATTGGTACTGTACCTATAGGATATAGTGATGGATGGCATCAAAATTTCACGTCGACTGGCGTTCTTGTCAAGGGAAAGCGATTACTGATCGTTTAACTTATTTTCATGGATCAACTTATAATTGGTCTTGACTGAAAGTATCCAGTGGGAATTCGTGTGACATCCATCGGACAGCAAGGCAGCAAGACGATAACTGGTGACAAAGTTGCTCAGTACGCAAATGTATCCAAGGGAGAGGTATATTGTTCCCTCACGAACCGCATACCACGTATATACAAACAGAATGTATTGGTCATCAGTGGTGCAAACATTTTCTCCCAGTCTCTGAATCTACTAGGAGTGGTACTTTGCATTTCGTTTACACGTCTGAAGTAAATCTGCACGTGATCAAGCACACTTTGATAACTAACTTTTCGTTTAGTAACAGATTTGATCTATGGAAAACTGATCAATCTTCAAAATTGTGCATAATGCATTCTACAAAAACAATTCCTTTAGCAAGAAACAAGTGTTCATTTGAGAGTGGTTGAATTCAATGTACACTTGAGAATCTTCTCTTTACTTCAGCCGCCTGTTGTTTGTCCAATGCTTCTTGTTCCTTCCGTATGGCATACCATCATCCATACTCCTGTATTCATAAGCTTTTGAAAGATGTGCTCAGTTTTGTAGATTGAGAAAAAGAGTCTCCTTCCTATTTCCGCACTTGATCTTTTCAAGATCCACTTTGACTTTGTGATGTTCGAATTATATGAACAGGGTGTGGGTGAATGCAAGTGTGTTTACGTAAGAATAATTCCAGGCATCATACGATGCGTTTCGACTATTGCTCATATAGTCACCATCAGGTATCTGTAGAATCCAGCATATTACATATTGAAGAGTCTTTTAGAGTGTTGAAATGGATGTGTTTTTTTAAGTCGAATGGTTTTATTCGAGTGCAAAAGAATAGAAAGGTGTAGCATGAAAGTGAAGATGGGATTATCAAACCTGCTTATTGATGAGACGATGGCTGATGTATGTGTCGATTAGGCTCATGTGTATAAGGTTCCAAGGAAGTTGTGGCTGATGCAAAAATGTGGAGATTATCATTTGGGTACTTGTTTTGGTGCCATTGCATTCCTTCCAATTATCTTTTTGATCTTCTCTTTCGAGGTGTGGGTGTGGGTGTGGGTGTGGTGGATGTGAGTGAGTGTGTGTATGCGCATAGATGCGGATGTGGGTGTGGGCGTTTGTTTAATGAAAGAGCGATCTATACCTGCAAACACCGACACTCATGTGTTGCTTACAACTGCGGAACTATAAGAGATATAGATGTGGGACTTGTCTAAAATCGTGGATGTTGATTCGAATTATCAATTTAACTGTTTGGAATTGAAAATCCGTCATACGTTTAGGGAATAGTAGTCTTGTCGAATTTGCACTCAAAGGTTTACCATGATAAGTATTACCTGAAAGCCTGATCATTTCATAATACTACGCGCCCCACTGTGCTCCATTCAGCAGTGAGAACTGCAGCTCTCTATCATGTTATTTTCAAAAGTTACAAGCATTCTCTCCAAATGGTTGTTGTAAAAAGTCGATATGAGGTTGATATGGTAGCAATGCATGTGACAAGGAATTTTATTTCATTATCAAAAGGAAAATTTCTAGAGGACTATGAAGCAAAAAAACAAAGGTCGATTAATAATTATCTCATGAGCAAGTACAAAAGAAGGTTTGTGAATATTGAAGCTATCGATATGTGAGTGGTGACACTTATAGAAAAGAAGTGAAGGATGGGCTGATTTCTGGTCATTGAAATACCGTTGCACAGATTCGTCGTACAACAATAGAAAGTATTCTTAAGACTTGTTGCACTCGTTGACACACGTTTGCTTCTATCATTGCGGCACAGTGCTGAAGATGCTATTCCACGATCAATTAAATTTTTATCCTTCGTTTTCTGAAACACGCAGTCAACCAAGTCCGTTAGCAATGACATAAATATCAAAGTCAAATATCAAAGTCAAATTTCAAAGAAAACATACTGTGCAGAGTTTGCCAACAAAAACTTCCACTTTTGTTCTTCAAGAATTGCATTGGCGTTAAATGGATCACCACAATTTCTATCAAGAGAATCCATACACATATATATCCCCCTGGTCATGAAAAACCGAAAGGCTTGTTTCTTTGATTTCTCTATGATGGAACATCTTTTAGGTCCCATATTTATACCACAGATAGACATTGTCTTACTCTATCTGCTGGCAAAATTTCAGCCATATACATCGAGCATTGGCTGAGAAAACGAAAAATCAATCTTGTACACTCATATGCAGTTGCGCCAAATACTTGTAACTATGCTTATGTTTTTGATATTTCTTGTTTGATTCTGACTTAGTAAGTATTGATTAGTTATCTTCTAATCATCATTTACGAATGGTGACATCTTAAGATGTCACCATTCGTAAATGATGATTAGAAGATAACTAATCAATACTTACTAAGTCA